GTTAAGTAGTACAGCGAATAAAGGGTAAAGTTCAAAATAGCTCATTCTTCGAAGATATTGTCCCTCCTATTCCAGAAAATAAAACTAGACAAAGTCGGCGATTGATTCGTCATTAAGTTAAGTAGCACAGCGAACAAAGGGTAAAGATCAAAATAGTTCATTCTTCGAAGATATTGTCCCTCCTATTCCAGAAAATAAAATTTGACAAAGTCGGCGAAGCCCTCCCCCAAATCGGAACTAAGAAAGCTTATGTTATGAAATTCAGAGGAGCAATACTAGAGATGATTTGACCCGGGCATACAAAAAACGGGACCCCTCAGACCCTTGGGGGGCAAGTAATAACGGTCCCCGGAAGTGTAAATGGCACTAGCAGAATTCGGAAACTAGCGGCGGTGTTGGATTCAAATTCTAGTATGTTGTAGGCCTAGTTAAAAGGGGCTTAAGTTTGGGAACCCAGACCCCTCAGACCCCCACTTCCGGTTTTATGCCCAAAGTAAACAAACCCACCCGTAACTTCCGGAAGTCGTTTCTCGGCCTCCAATGATTGCAGGGAGCTAAAACTTGGAGGGATGATAGGTAGTGGCAAGATACATCTTGTATTATAAATTGAACCAAATCCGGAAGTTGAACCGGAAGCTATTAGCACTTGCAAAAACGCCCCCTCAGACCGGAAGTAGGTAATTTACGCAAAATAATGAGCGAGGGCATATCGATTTTAGTGCTGCAATTGACACAAGATACGGACCCCTAAAAAAGACCCCTTGTGAGTGAAAACCCTCCGGTGACTCCTCCCGGTGTTAAGAGCCTTTTCCCGGAAAAAGTGATAATGGACCTTAGAAATGAGATAACTTGTGGAGTATTGATGGGTTATGAATGAAACTTGGTAGTTAAGTCCCCCATGGGATTCTGAACCCAATTATGGAAGTTTGACCCCGGTTGACCCCTGGGTGACCTTAAATTGACCTTCGGACTTTTCGACACCAAATTTGCATGGAGATTATTACCGGAAAGTGGCGTGTTTCCCAGACTAATCCCTGGAAATGAGGATGAGTCACCTTGCTAAAAATTGGGAGGAAAACTTATATATTGGGAATTACAGCAGAAGCTGATAGAGATATAGCTTTTACATTGCAACCTTGGAGTAGAGGATTTAATTCAAAGTGGACTTGGTAAACATTGGGTCAGTTTAGCTCTATAAAAGTGATCTATTAATAGCAATTCAACTAGACTAGAGAAAAGTAGTCCCAGAGCAATCTGGTAGTAATAGAGGCATAGCATGAGAGTTAAGTCTCCTAATAAGAATGAACGAACGGGGAATTTACTTGGCTTCCCGGAGGTAACTTTCTGGTTTGATTAATAGACGAACTACGTTACCCTGATAGCTAGCAAGTCGGGATTGGAATAGAGTACCGGTAGAAATTTTAGATGCTTAGAATGAATTAGCTACCAATGAAAAAGGTCTCCCCCTACCCTTGGGATATCGGAACGTTAACGGGATAAATAAAACAAAGACCTTGGGAGAGTTACTGAACAAACATAGCATGCTTTGGAAGTTGAGTTGAACTCGAAAGCTGAGTTGACCGAGTTCAAGAATTGGTTGGTTAGAATCGTATGACATTTGTTTGCTGGTCAAATTTTGACAGCTACCGCATACCGGGTATCTAATAAGCGTGAAAAGATTGGTAAAAGAAACCGAAGTTGGCATGTGTCAGAGTTGACAGAAGGAGGGATATAGTCTTAAAACATGCGCGGACGGGCGATTTAGGCGGATGTCAGGACTGATAGGTAATGGCGTGACTTAACTTAAACTAAGTGTAAAGAAAGATAAGGAATTGGAGGGTACCGGAGAGCCTGTAAGAGTTAGAACAGTTGGTAACTACTTTTAAGGGTTGTTGTTTCTCGTCAGAGAAGAGAACAGTTGATACTGAGAGAGAGTATAGTTGGTTCTCCGTTAGTTAGAGAGAAGAATTATTGCGAGCAAATTGAATAGTTGGTTCTCGGAGTAAGAGACCAGTAAATAATTAGTTCTCATCAGAGATTCTCTAGAGAGAGAGAATAGTTAGTGTTAGCGGAGTAAGTTGGAAATTAATTGCAATTAGGCAATTTGACCGATAAATCGCAGACCCTTCCCTTTGACTTGTTTTAGATTATACCCTGGCCACTCAGAGCCTTCTGTAATTGGACCTATTATAATCTAAATTAATTTGTCATTGGAAACCCTTGTGATTGAATCGAGTAGACGAGACAAGACAGCCGAAGAGCAATACACAGAGGGGCAAGCAACATAATACAAAACAGAATTGTTACCACCAAAATAACCCTTTTCGGGATTGTAGAAAGTAGTGAATCTCGGTCACCCCGCTGAATTCACTGCCCAAGGGACAACTTTGCGGTGTCGTTAAAAGAGAGAACGAAACTAGAGAAGAAAACCCCTAATTCTACATTGGCGCTCCTGGGTGGGCAAATTCTGGATTGCAGCTGCACAGTGTGTATTGCTAATTGTTGATATGGAAGAACAGGATAGGCGGCTGATTGCTGAGCAGCAGTTACAGCAGCGAACGCGCTGGACAGACAACAAGGCGTATTTGGATTCGGGACAAAACGGCCGGATCATTTTTCCTTCCAGTACCTATCAGAACTGGGCAGACTGGAGAAAGCACTTCGCTTGGGTCGCCTATGCCAACGGCTGGGAGGACGAGCAGGCCAGGATGGTCCTACCAACCTAGTTGACGAGCGGGGCATTGGATGAGTTTACAAGCATGCCAGCCCACTTTCGAGAAGAGATCGAGGGCTATGACAAGCCAACGTTGGCTAGGATGCTCGCCGAGCTCGATCACAGAATGATGCCGTATCAGACGCACGCAGGCGCCCGAGCGGAGTTCAAAAGTCTGATGCAAGGCAAAAAAGAGGGTTTCAGGGAGTTCTCCAGACGAGCTCGGTCCCTTGGGGATGTAGCCAATGTGAACATCGGAGCCCAAGCTAGAGACGACATGAACCGTGAGCAGTTCGTCGACGGGCTGTTCGATGTGGAGCTCCAAGACCAGCTCTTGCGTGAAGATTTGGGGAGCCTCGCTCAGGCCGTTGCTCGGGCGCAAGCCCTGGAGCTAGTCAACAGGACGTCACTGACCAGATACAGAAAGAGGCTGCATCATTTCCCGAGAATGGCCGAGAATGGCCGAGAATGTACCAGAGCAGGGGGCAGAGACGAGTCGCAGTGCTGGTGGACAGATCAGTCGGCTGCCACTTGTAGGGGCCAATTTGGGACAACAGCAGGCGGGCTCTGACCCCCGAATCGACCAATTGGTGAGTGTCCAGAGTGATCTTCTGAAACAGATGCAGAATATGGCGTCTATGAAGGGTAGGTTTGTCAATTCTATTAATCCTGCCCCCACCCGGAGAATTTACCCCGCCCTGATCAAACCCAATGAATTCGGCAGCTCTTTGACCCTTACCCCGACCAGGACCGTCGGAGTTACCAGAACAGTGGAGTCGGACGCTACGGGGTGAAGAGCCAGGTACCTCGTGGCAACTGCTATGCATGTGGCCAGCCAGGACACTTCGCGAAGGAATGCCCCCAGAAGACCGCGGACCAATTAAAATACCAAGGGCCGGGACAGTGAGCGGATACTAAAGAGGTTTCGTCCCGGCCGATTTAAAAAACCAACAGTCGAACGGTAGGAGTCCCACTCCCAGCGACTCAACCCAACAAACCCCGAATTCCCAGATGCCGCCTCGGATTCTGCAAATCAACGACAGGACGACTGGATCGGAGCAAGTTCAGTCACTCTTTCGTCAAGCCCAACCCCCCACCGCGGCAGTTTCTAAACAGATGTCTAGTACCCAGTGCCAGACGGAGATATCATTGGAGTTCGTTGCCGTTTGTCAAGTACCCGAAGCACCTTTCGGATTAATAGCAGACGCTCGTGTCGGAGGAACCCCAGTGAGAGCGTTAGTCGACACTGGAGCTACCATCAACCTTATCCGGAGCGATGTTTACAGCAGACTGACAGCTGCACCAGCTCTCCGGACGTACAAGGGGTCCCTTGAGAGAGCGGACGGACGCGCGGTCAATGTTGACGGCTGGATTACAAGTAACATGGAGCTCGGGTCGATAGACGTTGAAATCGAAGCATTAGTGGTTCCTGAGTTAAAGGCGGAGGTGATCCAGTGTATGCGATCACTCGACGAGTACGATTGTTCATTGGACTTCCACTGCGATAACTTGTGGACTTGGCCGAAAGAAGGATCAACAGTCCCCTTGCATTACGAACCATTACGGGCCACGTCCCCGGGGCCCTCGGCAGTCCCAGACTCTCAAAACCCAGCAGAAGATGTCACAGAAACCCTACCCCAGCAGCCTACCTGTGGCCCTGGAGATCTGGTGGAGGGTTGGTCAGATGATGAAGAGGATCATTTTGTCCAGATGATCAGTAACGGGGATGAGGTCGACCTCCAAGCGCAAGCGGAACGCCACTTGGAAGAAGATGTTCAGAAGAACTTGGAGTTAGCTGCGGGGGCTGAGAGAGATAGACTACGGGAACTCACACAGAGACATGTTCGCCCTCATCGATGCAGAGTTGGGGCAGACGAACTTAGTGACCCATCGGATTGACACAGGGGATACGGGCCCTATCAAAATTCCTCCTCATCGAGCTTCTCCGGCAAAGATGCCAATTATCCGAGAGGAGGTGCAGAGCATGTTGGATAAAGGAGTAATTATTCAGCCGTCTAAAAGTCCCTACAGTGCGCCAATTGTCCTACAGAAGAAGAAAGATGGGAGCTGGCTGTTTTGTGTGGACTGTAGGAAGTTGAACGATGTGACGATCAAAGATGCGTTTCCCATCCCTCGGATACAACAGACCTTCGACGCTTTGAAAGGACAAAAATACTTTCGTCCCTAGATTTGGCCAGTGGTTATTGGCAAGTACCCGTAGCAGAAGAGGATCGACACAATACTGCATTCGTCACCATGGAATGGAATTTTTTACGAGCATGTAATGATGCCCTTTGGATTGTCCAACGCTCCAGGGACTTTCCAACGGCTGATGAACGAATTGTTTCGGGAGCACTTGTGGAAGTGCGCTCTGGTGTTCCTGGATGACGTTCTAGTCTCCAGCCAGTCGGACGAGAGTCATTTTGCTCACCTCCGGGCAACCTTTCAACTCTTGAGAGCAGCCAACTTGAAATTAAAACCATGCAGGCTGGTGCAGAGGGAGGTCACCTATTTGAGCCTTATTATTGGAAGTGAAGGGATCCAAGTCGATCCTAAAAGGTAGAAGCAGTCACCAACTGGCCAGTTCTATTAACCGTGAAGGGAGTGAGATCTTTCCTAGGCTTCTGCAATTACTATCGCCGGTTTGTGAGAGACTTTGCCGGTATAGCAAGTCCCGTGTCTTCACTGACGAAGAAAAAGGTGCCATTTGTGTGAACAAACGAATGCCAGGCAGCCTCTGAACGTCTCAAGAGAGAGCTTATCACGGCCCCCGTATTGGAGTTTGCCGACTACAATGGCAACTTCATAGTAGATACCGACGCGAGTATTACTAGTCTTGGGGCAATACTTTCGACCCCTATTATACGCCAGCCGCGTTCTCTCAAAGACCAAGACCAATTATTCAACGACAAAGCGCGAATCTTTAGCAGTTGTCCAAGCAGTCAAGTGGTTTAAGTCCTATATTTGGAGTGTAAAACTCGTTCTCCGGACAGATCACTCCAGATTGCAGTGGCTCTTCAAGCAAAATGAGCCTGATGGAATGTCGTTCAAGATGCAGCAGCAGCTGCAAGAATTTGGTTTCGAAGTTGTCCAACGAGCGGGATCCAAGCATGGAAACGCGGATGGTCTCTCGATTACGCTAGAAGAGGGACCAGATTGGCTACCTGGCGAAAAAGAGGAAGCATTCGGTCCCTGTCCACAGGCGGTTCCACTCAAAGAGACCATGAAAAGTTATTGTAGCTATGCTCAGCGACGGCTAGGAACAAGACGACAATGAGGCAATTTCCTGGGAACGGACACCACTTGAGATTTCCTTTCTTCAAAAAGAGGATGAGTCGATAGTTCGAGTGTTCTACTGGGCCGAACTGGATGGAAAATCTGGCGATATGCCATCACTGGGGACGAACCTCATCCCAAAGGAGCAAGCAATCCAATACGGACCCGAGGTGCTGGCGTATTGGTCGAGATGGAACGAGCTGACCATTAGGGGAGGAATACTTTTCAAGAAATGGTTCCCAAAGGACGATTCCCGACCTGTTCTTCAGACAGTAGTCCCCATAGTAGGACGCAAAGGGATCCTTAGTCAGTTAGATTCGTCTCAGACCAGTGGGGGCGATTTCGCGGTCAAAAAGACTCTGGCGAGGATACGACAGTGATTCTGGTGGCCATCGATGAGGACAGACTTTGAAAAAAAGGTCCGGTGGTGTCTAACATGTGCAGCACATAGCACTGGAGGAAGGAAAAGAGTTGCTGGGCTGGTACCATTCAAAGTGGGGACTCGGTTCAACACTGGCGCAGCAGACATTTTGGGACCCGTGACACATGCAACCCGGACGAGGGCGAAGCATATCTTGGTCATGACGGACTTGTTTACTAAATATGCGGTCGCGGTACCACTTGTGTCCACAGACTCGGCAGAGGTAGCTCGAGAGATAGTGGAGATCTGGGTGCTGAAGTTCGGGGCACCCAATGTGCTGCATGCGGATCAGGTAAAGAACTTTGGAAGCAATCTCATCCTTGAGATGTGCAGACTTTTGGGGATAGACAAGTCCCGGACCTCCCCCTATCTTCCTCAGGGAAATGGCCAAGTGGAGCGTCATAGTAGGGTGATTGCCGACGTCATTTCGAAATACTGTGCCGACAATCCAAAGACATGGGACACCGTGTTACCCTATCTCAATTTCGTGTACAACACTACAATACATAGAACGACAGGGGCCACATCCTTCAATCTGGTACACGGGCAGGAGTGCCAGTATCCCATTGATCTCTTCTACCCCAAACCACACGACGAGCTACCCACACAGGACGGTTTCGTGGAGTGGCTGGACGGAAAATTTAGAGATGCCCATAGCAGTGTCCAGGAGCTCTTGGAGACCAATCAGCGACGTCAGAAAGACCAGTATCGGAAAAGAGTCCACGGCGAACCCTACTCCATGGGAGACAAGGTTTGGGTGTGGGCCAAAGAGAATATCAAGCCAAAGTTCTTCTTACCTTGGGAAGGACCTTACGTCCTCCTGGCAAAAGTCTCGGAAGTTAATTACAAGGTGGCGAAGCTAACCACACCAGGCAAGATACGGTTTCTACACTTCAACATGCTGAAACCCTATGTGGAGGAAGAACCTCGACCTGATGAAGCTTACTCCAGCAAACGCCCGACAACCGGATTTTTCGACAAGCCCGGATGGCAAGACGAAGATCTAGAGTCGACGACTGGAGGCCAAAACGAGATACGGCCGATAAGATTACCTGCTCCTCACCCGACTCCGCCGCATCGGATGAGATCCGGTAACCAAGAGGAACTGCTCCCAACGGAGGAAACAACTCAGCTAAGGATTAACACAGTAGAGACATACGACACGGTGGAAATTGAAGTTGAGGGAGAAGTCGAAACACTGGCCCCTCCAAATGAGGAAGGCATGGAAATCTCGGGATCGGTGGATACTATCGAAGAAGAAGGGGACTCGATACTACAAAAGAAGGCCGACCCAACCGAACACGGCGTCCACCAGTCCGCTTCGGAATAGACGAATTCGAGAGGGGATAGCTCCACCTCAATAAAACTAATATCGTTTCATTACTTTTCACCTCAACCCCCTTTTTGCCCCAATAAAGGCTATTCTGACTAAATTAGTTATAAGATGATGTTAGACTTAGAATTGTTTAGGGGATAGACCGGATAATACACCAGACTTTTAGTTATCACCGGTAAGGGAAGTATTTAAATCAGAAAAAGGGGAACTCTCGGCCTTTGGCAAGGGGAACTACAGATGTGGGTAGACCAGTTCGAGTAAGAAGGCCTCCAGTTAGGTTTGGAATCGATGAATTTGCGAGTTAAAACTAGTTTTTCGGAAACTTTTTTGCTCAGCTCATATGTTCTTGTTCAATATCTTAGTGCGATCGCACCTCAGGGTGTTGCTGAACCTTGCGTTATTGTTCAACATTAGCTGCTTTTATAAACGAGGTTGGGTCTCACTGCGAGGAGTAAATTTATTAGCAGTTAAGTCCCCTAGTTAGAATTTCTGTAACAAATAGTGCTTACTGGTGGAATCTGATTATTCATATGGGGACTGAATGAAGGGTCCGCAACTTTGTTTAAGGAAATGTAACTCGGAAATTAGGAAGATTTATGATAAGATGAGGCATTTGATATGGCTATTCTAGTTTGGTAGAAAGACGGTTTGGTATTACATGCTATAGTAACCTGAGCGTAATAATGATTTGTCATTAAGTTAAGTAGTACAGCAAAAAAAGGGTAAAGTTCAAAATAGTTAATTCTTCGAAGATATTGTCCCTCCTATTCCAGAAAACAAAATTTGACAAAATCGGCGAAACCCCCCCCCCCAAATCCGACCCCTCAGACTCTTGGGGTGCAAGTGATAACGGTCCATGGAAGTGTAAATGGCCCTATCAGAACTCGGAAACTAGCGGCGGTGTTGGGCTCAAATTCTAGTATGTTGTAGGCCTAGTTAAAGGGAGCTTAATTTTGGGAACCCAGACCCCTCAGACCCCCACTTCCGGTTTTATGCCCAAAGTAAACAAACCCACCCGTAACTTCCGGAAGTCGTTTCTCGGCCTCCAATGATTGCAGGGAGCTGAAACTTGGAGTTGTGATAGGTAGTGGCCAGATACATCTTGTATTATAAATTGAACCAAATCCGGAGGTTGAACCGGAAGCTATTAGCACTTGCAAAAACGCCCCCTTAGACCGGAAGTAGGTAATTTACGCAATATAATGAGCAAGGGCATATCGATTTTATTGCGGCAATGGACAAAAAATAAGGACCCCGAAAAAAACCTCTTGTGAGTAAAAAGTTTCCGGTGACTCCTCCCGGTGTTAATAGCCTTTTCCCGGAAAAAGTGATTATAGACCTTAGAAATGGGATAACTTGTGAAGTATTGATGGGATATGAATGAAACTTGGTAGTTAAGTCCCCCATGGGATTCTAAACCCAAATATGGAAGTTTGACCCCGGTTGACCTCTGGGTGACCTTAAATTGACCTCTGGGCTTTTTGACCCCAAAATTGCGTGGGAAACCCCGAGATTATTACCGGAAAGAGGCGTATTTCCCAGCCCAACCCCTGGGAATGAGGATGGGTCACCATCTAAAAATTGGCAGAAAAACTTATATATTGGGAATTAGAGCAGAAGCTGATAGAGATATAGCTTTTACATTGCAACCTTGGAGTAGAGGATTTGATTCAAAGTGGAGTTGGTAAACATTGGGTCAGTTTAGCTTGGCGAGTGATCTATTAATAGCAATTCAATTAGACTAGAGAAAAGTAGTCCCAGAGCAATCTGGTAGTAATAGAGGCATAGCATGAGAGTTAAGTCTCCTAAAAAGTATGAACGAACGGGGAATTTACGTGGCTTCCCGAAGGTGACTTTCCGATTTGATTTGACCCCTAATAGACGAACTTCATTACCCTGATAGCTATCAGGTCGGGATTGGAATAGAGTACAGGTAGAAATTTTAGATTCTTGGAATGAATTAGCTACCAATGAAAATGCTCTCCCCTTACTCTTGGGAGATCGATACGTTAACGGGCTAAATAAAATAAAGACCTTGGGAGAGTTACTGAGAAAACATAGCATGGTTTGGAGGTTGAGTTGAACTCGAAAGCTGAAGTTGACCGAGTTCAGGAATTGGTTGATTAGAATCGTATGACATTTGTGTGCTTGGTCAAATTGTGACAGCTAACGCATACCGGGTATCTAATAAGCGTGAAAAGATTGATGAAAGAAACCGAAGTTGGCACGTGGCAGAGTTGACAGGAGGAGGGATATAGTCTTAAAACATGTGCGGATGGGTGATTTAGGCAGATGTCAGGACTGATAGGTAATGGGGTGACTTAACTAAAACTAAGTGTAAAGAAAGATAAGGAATTGGAGGGTACCGGAGAGCCTGTAAGAGTCGGAAAAGTTGGTCAGAGAAGAGAACATTTGATACTGAGAGAGAGTATAGTTGGTTCTCCGTTAGTTAGAGAAAAGAATTAGTGCGAGCGAATCGAATAGTTGGTTCTCGGAGTAAGAGACCAGTAAATAATTAGTTCTCATCAGAGATTCTCTAGAGAGAGAGAATATTTAATGTTAGCGTAATAAGTTGGAAATTAATTGCAATTAGGCAATTTGACCAATAAATCGCAGACCCTTCCCTTTGACTTGAATTTAGATTGTACCCTGGCCACTCAGAGCCTTCTGTAATTGGAATATAATAATCTAAATTAATTTTTCATTGGAAACTCTTGTGATTGTATCGAGTAGACGAGACAAGACAGCCGAAGAGCAATACACAGAGGGGCAAGCAACATAATACAAAACTGAATTGTTACCACCAAAATAACCCTTTTCGGGATTGTAGAAAGTACTGAATCTCGGTCATCCCGCTGAATTCACTGCCCATGGGACAACTTTGCGGTGTCTTTAAAAGAGAGAACGCACCTAGAGAAGAAATCCCCTAATTCTACAAAAATAGCCATTTTTAAACCCCCATAAATTTACGAAAAATGATCACAGGTGAAATATCTTTTCAAATTTGAGCTCAAGACAACAATACCTTCCGAATGATATAAAAGAATTCCGTCAAAAATGGCTAATTAAAAAGTCGAAATTTGTCTGAAGAAAAAAAACCCAACCCGAGCACAAATATTCCGTTACTTTCGTATCGAAAGTCGGAACAACAAGAAAAAGTTTTATAACAGATGCTGTTTTTCGCATCTATGATTGTATACAGTTGTGTGGTCTGATTTAGACGTTGCAAATTCAAGCGAGGTATATATTTATGTTTGTATAAATGTGATTAGTTTAATTTGTTCAAGTATATTATGTACGCGCTCAGTAGTCTGCTCTCCAAAAAATTTCACCTGAACTTCAGACATGTAACCATAATTTGAAAAAAAAATTGAAAGTCAAGTCAATCTTGTTCTTGACTTCAAGATTACTGCATTGTACCAGGTTTTAAGTTTAAGCGTATGTCTATGCCTAAATAGAAGAAATTATTTAATGATAAATTTATCTTTGAGTGTACTAATTTATGTGTTAAATTTACCAATCGGATACCTAAATCTCACATAAGAAAATCAACCGAAAAACAAATCATTCTAACTCTTGTTCCCAATTTTTCAACAATTTGTTTAGTACTTTGCGACGTTTCG